GCATGTATGCATGTATGCATGTATGCATGTATGCATGTATGGATGCATGTATGTATGTATGTATGTATGTATGTATGTATGTATGTATGTATGTATGTATGTATGTGTATGTGTATGTGTATATGTATATGCATATATATATATACATATATATATATAGGGTTCATAAGAAGAACCGACAAAAACGCAGGTTGTGGTAGGTTAAGGTAATCCGAAACCCTGAACCTTAATGATCAGAACAGTGTTTTGAGGGGCCATTGTACTCTATTTGTATGAACAGAAACCCTAGGAAGAGAAGTTTCTAGATTATTAAGCCGCCAGAGCCCAGCCTTGTTCATGATGAAAGGCGTCGTAGTATTCTGAAGTGCCAGCTCCATGATCACCTGAGAAATCTTTGAGTAAAGCAACTTCATGCTTTTGAGCCCCAATTCTCGCGCATAATATGGTACCCGATAATATAATGCCTAACTCCTCCCAAACCCTAAACCCTAAACCCTGAACTTATATAATGCCTAAAGCCCCCAACCCTTAACCCTAAACCCTGGACCCGAAAGCCTAAGACCCTAAACCCTTGAGCTCTACACCCGCAACCGTAAGCCGTAAGTGCCCGGTCACGGAGTTGATACAGGACACCGACGCCGATGCGGCCACGCAGAGGATAGCACTCACATGTGAGCTTCCTGAGCTCTGGCCTAACAGTAATAACTACGGCGAGAGGGAACTATGGGAAGAAACGGAGTTTGAATGTCCACGCTGAGGAATATATACTCAAATTGTGCTACTCACTCTTCTATCATGACTTCAGCAACTTCAGTATCCAGAGCCGGGCTTCCTCCAGGGCGGTGGTTTGCAACGGTGGCATCCATGAAGGCTAGGATGACAGCAGCATCGAAGGAGGCCGTGTGCGATAGCCACTCAATCCAAGCGTAGCTGTGCCTCGGTTGTGGTTCAGGGTGCCCCAGTAAGCCCTCTAAGAAAAAAGGATACCATCTGGCTTACAATTCTGATAGCATGAAGACCCTCAAACCGCGAACCCCGCATCGAAACGCTAAACACCAAAAACTCTCAAGCCTACACCCTTCAAATCGCGACATAGTTGCTTCAAGATCAAACGTCCCAAAACCATGGCCAAGGGAGTGTAGATCTTTCCCATGGCCTCACACGAAGGAACAACGAAAAGCGGCAAAAGTATCATATCACATCACAGAGTATAGAATGGATGACGGGATGTAATGTGATGTTCATGCAGTGCCTGTGCCAAGCACTTCGGTACGGTTAGGTGAGGTTACACAACGTACGGCAGGGTCAGGTTTATCTTCAACTTCGCACTCATGCCGCTAAAGGAGCCCATTAAGCCCATTAATGTAGAGGCCTCAATAATTGGAATAAGGTTTGGAAGTCTTTTATACTATAATTATACTAAGGAACCCCCAAAAATAGTATTGGTAGTTCTTGAGGCCCCAATTTTTATACTGTAAATATAGTAAAGAGCCCCCCAAAAGAGTATTGGTAGTTCAAACAAAGACCCCCAAAAAATAGTAGTGGTAATATTCAGGCCCCTACATTTGAGGGCCTCCTTCAGCGACGCGTTGATGCCAATGGCCATGGCCAACCCCAACAACGCCCCTGACATCGACTGCAGGAAGCCCAGGGCGAAGAATTTCGGCAAGCTGCAGGGGTTCAAGGCCTCCGAAACGCTTTTGGGGTTTCGGGTTTTTAGGGTTTAGGGTTGAAGGTTTTAGGGTTTAGGGTTAAGGGGCTGAAGGTTTTAGGGTTTAGGGTTTAGGGTTTAGGGCGTCTTCCCGCGGGGCTGAGCATCCATGCACCGATGGCTTCCAGGGATCTGTGGGTGGCGGCGCATCCTTCGCCCAGCGACCCTTCATGATGTCGGTCCATCGCAATCAGTTGTTCCCACCCGCTGTGAGAAGTCACAGGCTACCACCCAAATTACTTCCTGTTAGGGTTTAGGGCTGCGCCCTGAATTCCCACCTCAAGCAACGCCTTTTGGAGGGGCATGGAGGGGCCGAGTTTGTGGTGGAACGGCCAAACAACGTGGTGGCAGAAGCCCTTTCCGCAGAAAAAGGCAGGGGGGATAGGGGTGGCCAGGGCCAGGGGCCAGGGCCAGCCAGAAAGTGCCGAGAAGGAGTGGCAAGGGGGAGGCGGTCGTGGCTAAGGGGGTGAGGAAAGGTCAGGGGGAGCCAGAAAGAGGCTAGGAGGAGGCCACAAAGTAACTGGGTGCCAAGTCCCGCTTGGACCGCCTGGAGCCCCCAGGCCCTCCAACTCTGCTTGCGGGCGGAACAGGAGCGGCTGGATCCCCATCTCCGTTCGTCCATTCTCCATAGGCTCCTCCCATTGTCTGACCCAGTACTGGTGTAAAGGCTGCCGTGTTTCTTCAGTGTCTGACCACCAATGTCATGGGTGGGAACGGTTTAGGGTTTAGGATTTGGGTTTAGGGTTGAAGGTCTTAGGGGTTTCGAGCTCCTGGGGTCTAGGGGCTTTGGGTTTAGGGAGTGCTCTAGGGTTTTTTTGGCGCTTCTTGCAGCTGGAGGGCGACTCCGGGATTATGGAACGTCTGGACCCCAAGAACCCCGAAAACTAAGCCCAAAGCCCTAAACCTTAAACCCAAAACCCTAAACCCTAAATCTTAAACTCTAAACCCCGAACACTTCGGGGGGGCTTTTGGGGCTTTCTTTCAAGACCCCGTGGCCTCCCGTAGCCCGGCGAAGCCTTGGTAGATTTTGAGAAGGGTTTAGGGTTTAGGGTCCTTTAAAGGTTTCTTTAAGTGATTCTTTAAGGGTTCCTTTAGGGAGGCCTTTAGGGTCTTTTTGGGTGGTTTAAAGCTTAGGGTTTAGGCTTTCGGGTTTAGGGTTTAGGGTTGAGTTTAGGACTTAGGCTTTAGGCAGGTTTCGGGTTTTGTGAGGTTGAGCGTTTTAGGGCTTTAGTTAGGACTTAGGGTGAAGGCTCCAGGGCTTAAGGGTTTAGGGCTTTACAGCTTAGGGTTGGGGCTGTAGGGTTTGGGGTTTGGGGGTTTAGGGTTCAGGGTTTTAGGCTTTAGGGTTTAAGGTCTAGGGCTCTACGGTTTAGGGTTTAGGGTTTAAGGATTTAGGGCTTTAAGGAGGCTTACGTGGTGTTGTAAGCTATGCGGCTTTGGAGGCTTTGGGTTTAGGCTAGGGTTAAGGAGGTTTGGGGCTGGGGAAGAGCCAGGAATGCAGATGTTTGGATGGCAAAACATACGGGACCCTAAAAAGGATATCAAAAGAGAAGACCTTTGCGAAAGAAAGCCCTGGAAGGGACCAACTCTGCAGCATCATGGCCTTTGGAAACTTTTGGTGGTCTTGCGCGGCGCGGCTTCGAGCGCGATCAAGGAAGACCCGCAATCACTCTCGATTCAAGCTTGCGACTTAGGATGTGCGGGCTTCGGGGTTTGGGGTTTAGGGTTTGGGGTTTAGAGTGTGGGAGTCTGGTTTTGGGGTTTAGGAGGAAGCTTTGTTTGGCTGTATAGCTGCCTCATGGCTTCTTTCGAGTACAAGTCACCGTAGGTGTTGACCGTGAGCACGCAGGCCAAGCACATGCCGCAGAAAGGAATGCCCACTTGCCTGGTTTGTTCAAAAGGGACTTGACTTCAGATACCACCATAAGGATGCCTCATAAAATTTCTTAAGTGTCGTTTGCTACCTTCGCCTGTTATGATGAGACTCGATGGATTCTATCCATCCATCCATCCATCCATCCATCCATCCATCCATCGATCCATCCATCCATCTGTCTGCACGTGCATGTGTATGTGTATGTGCATCTGCATGTGCATGTGCTAATGTACGTGAGAGTGTGTATATACATATTAGATAGTTAGATAGATAGATAGATAGATAGATAGACTAATGTAGACATGTATGTGATTATGGGTAACGTAAACTGAATCCCTGATGCCTTAACTCTGCAAAACAAAGCCTGCAAATCCTTTGAAGTATGGTAATTTAGCCAAGCCAGATATAAGAACTCTCATGTGGGATACCCCCACCTACCCCCATCCCACCCTTTGAGGCTTTTGACACTGAGCCCCAAAGCGTATACCACAAACCCTGAATCCTGAACCCTAAACCTGAACCCAACAACCCTAAAAGCCCTAAACCCTACACCCTATTGGGGTAGTTCTCTAAATTAGGGTCCCTTCTTCGGTCCCCCACATAGTACGGCAGTCTTATTTAAAAGCAGAACCCAAGAGAAACCCTAATTCAGAGAGCTACCCACTAACTATGAGAGCCAAGTTGCAGCGATTGTGGCACGAAGAAGCGGTTAGCCGACACATCGTTCCTGGGAGCGCGTTTAGGGTTTAGGGTTTAGGGTTTAGGGTGCATCTACAGTGCGCGGGCAGTGGGTGCGCTTCTGTAGGAATACTTATCGCGCGTTTGCGTCAGCATGTAGTCCCGCCCCAGCCACCCCAACTATTCTCAATCAGGGTTTAGGCCTCACCCCTCAAACCCCCCCTTAAAGGGAGCTTTCTTGCTCTCTGCTTCCCTTCGCGGCTCTACATACAACGGCCACGTGTCACAGCAAACCGCAGCTGAGATTGGGGTTGTGGGTCCTCGCGGCCTGCGCCGGCCGCTCGGCGAGAAGCAAGGATTTCGAACAAACAACCTACACCCTACACCCTAAACCCTAAACCCTAAACCCTAAACCCTGCCCTGACAGGTTTGGGTCGGCCTTGTAAATGGAGGTTTGGGCATGCACACATTGTGGCAGTTGGTTTTTTTCACCGTTCTGGGGCCTGGGTCGGAGCCTCGGGCGCCGCGGCGCTCTGGGCAGCTGCGGGTTTTTTATGGGAAGTTCTCTAACGTAGGCGACCAGGGTCCCTTTTTAGGATCCGTTCCACAAGGGTGCCGTACTCTATTGGGGACCCAAAAAGGGACCCTACCTCAGAGATCTACCCGTATAGGGTTGAGGGGCTTCGCAAAGCTTTCGAAAGATTCTGTAGGGCTTCATAAGGCTTTCTGGGTTTCAAAAAGGTTTTGTGCGTGGTTTCGGGCTTGGGGCTCTTGATTGAAGAGCATGCCGGGGGGTCTATGTGGGTAGTTCTCTAAATTGGGGTCCCTTTGAGGGTCCTTTTTTTGAGGGTGCCGTGCTATTTGGGGACCTCCTAAAAACGGACCCCAATTTAGAGAACTACCCATATGGGTTGATGATTCGAACCCCAAACCCCAAACCCTAAACCCAGCGGTTCTCGTGCGGTGATTTCGGGTTTGCTGCGTTGGGTTTGGCATTTCGGACGCAGAGTTCAGGGTTTAGGGTTTAGAGCTTCAGGCTTACAGTGTAAAGTTTAGGGCTTAGGGTTTGGAGCTTAGGAGTTTAGGGTTTAACATTCAGGGTTTAGGGAGGGTTCAGTACTGCTTAGGGTTGAGAGCATATCACGTTTGAGGATTTCACAGCTTGGCCTTTTGATCCTTACGCTTTTGCTCAGGGCTTGGCAGTTGGATGCTTCGGTGTTAAACTTATAGACCTGCGAGGTCTAGAGTGAACGTCGCCCCTAAACCCTAAACCCTAAACCCTAAACCCTAATCCCAAACTAAAAGTGGCGAGCCTTGCTAGCTTGAGTAGCTCAGCAAACCTTCACCCCCACGAATCTCACTTCCGACCTGGGAGCCCCAAAACCCGGAACCCTGGACCCCTAATAGAGGGGCCTTAATAATTAGAATAGGGTTTTGGGGCCCATGATACTATAATTACAAGAAGGAACCGCCACAATAGTATAGGTAATTATTTAGGCCCCTACATTAGACCTGGAACTACCAAACCCTCAGAAACACTGAACCCCAGTCCATCCTAAACCCTAAGCCCCAAACCCTAAACTCCAAACCCCTAAACCCCTAATCCCCTAAACCCAAAACCCTAAAACCTAAACCCCAAACCCTAAATCCACATATCAAACCTTCATAAACACCCGTGGGACCCAACAGCCGAAAGTCTGAAGGCGCCGGTGCTGCTAAGAGGCTGAAACTCCGTCTGCAAAGCACTGGCGATGACGTAAAAGAACTCGGGCAAGGGTTTAGGGTTTAGGGTTTAGGGTTTCGGGTTTGGGGTTTAGGGTTTAGGGTTTGTGGTTAGGGTTTGGGGTTCAGGGTTTAGGGTTTAGGGCAGTCCCTCTCTCACATGACATGAGTTGAATTGACGAACGCGGCTTTGAACCCCGACGCTAAGCCCCTGAACCCCTAAATTACCCTAAACCTCAAACCCCTGGACCCCTACACACCTACACCCACCCAATCCCCCTGAAATACCCTACTCCCTAGCCCCTAAACCCCTAAACTCTACACCCTTATCTAAACCCCTAAACTCTAAACCCTAAACCCCTAAACCCTAAACCCCTAAACCTTTAAACGCCTGAACCCCTAAACCCCTAAACCCTAAACGAACCCTGAGCCCGGCGCCGGTAGAGAATACTTCAGGAAAGCACAGACGTCTCGGCGAGTGTCCGCGGTGTCCTCTCAGGGAGCTGCGTCGGCCCGCTTCCGTAGCATGTCGAGGGTTCGGGGGTTAGGATTTACGTTTTAGGGGTTTAGGGTTTTAGGGTTTAGGGGTTAGGATTTACGTTTTAGGGTTTAGGGGTTTAGGGTTTAGGGGTTGAGGGATCTAGCAACGTCTAACCTAAACCCTAAACCCTAAACTTTCCTGAACCCTGAACCCTAAGCCCTAAGCCCAAGCCCCAAACCTACAGCCCTAAACCCCAAAACCAGGCAAACCCTGAAGCCCAAAGGCCAAGGGAGGCGGCCTCCGCGGCACGCTTGCAGAACATCCTCTCTTCTTTAAACCAGCCCCCCAAAAAAGGCTTAGGGTTTAGGGTTCAATCTTGCTAAGATAGACCAAGTATTTAGGCCAAAGAAAGGGTCCGAACTTTCTAACATAGATCAAACATGTAAGCCCAAAAAGGGTTCGAACTTTCAAAGATAGGCCAAATATATACATATGTATGTATGTATGTATGTATGTATATATATATATCCGGCCCAACAAACAAAGCTCCAACTGTCTTTGAGATAGACCAAAGATGCAACGGCCCAAAAAGGTTTATAAAGTTCTCCCATTGGCTAAATAAGCTTCTGCTTGCAGGCTTCCAGGCCACCGTACTCTCGCTTCGGAGTCAGCCCAGCGCTCTTCCAGAGGAACTTCACATTCCTGTGCTCTAGGGTTTAGGGTTTAGGATTTTTTTAAAGCACCTTTTTCCACCTTGCAGTTAAGGTCGGTAAAATCCATATTGTGGAGGGTTTAGGGTTTAGGGTTTAGGGTTTAGGGATCAACCATCAGGGTTGAGGCATTTAGGGGTTTAGGGGTTCAGGCTTGAGGGGTTTAGGCCTTAGGAATGTTAAGCCCCCGCTTTCTATACAGGTAGGGCTTCTTTTTTTTCAAGTATACTGTACACTATATTGAAATTGAAGGCTACTCCAACAGCAGCTGAAGCACAACCTCCCCGTCTGGAATAGGACGGCACAGATGACGACGAAGATGGCAATCAAGACTGATGGAATGGATCGAACGCTCCAGTTGTGCCCCATATTCATCCCCACGATCGGGTCGACGATGCACACACTTAGAACGCCAACGACTGTCTGGATGAGTGACTTGGTGACCGTCGAGAAATTCTTCACGACAAGCCCCGCCCACCACATCTGTCCGACTGTCAGGGAGAGCAGCGCGACGTGAATACGGCTCCATTTCCCGAACATTACATCCGTCCTAGAGCCCCACAGGCCATCATTGAGGAAGTACCTTCAGTCGGAGCCCAAAAAACAAGCAGAGCCCGGACCAAATCTAAGCGTGTAGTTGGTCTTCCTACAAAGGCAAGTCCGCACATAGCATGTAAGCCTAAACCTTACACTGACACGCTACACCCTTGATCCTAAACCCTACATCCTAAACTGTACACCCTGCACCCTAAACCCCTAAACCCCTGAACCCTAAAGCCCTAAAACCCTAAACCCTAAACCCTACATCCCTAAACTGCACACCCTGCGCCCTAAAACCCTAAACCCCTAAACAATAAACATCAACCCAAGACCCCAATCCCGACACCTGCTTACGCCAAACCTCCAGTTTAGGGTCTAGGGTTTAGGGTTTACGGGTTTAGGGTTTAGGGCTCTAGAAGTTTTGAATTTAAAAATTTAGGGTTTAGCGGTTTAGGGTTTAGGGCTTTAGAGTTTTAGGGTCTTAGGGTTTTTTTTTAGGGTTTATGACACCCATTCTTTCAAAGGAGAGACTGCGCAATCCAGACGGCCACCCCCAGCACGGAGCACACCAAGTCCAGGTGCACCCTATGGATGTAATACCTGAAACAGAGTTTTTGGGTTTAGGGCTTTGCGGTGCAAGCCCTCAGGACTCAGGACCTCGCCCTTGGAAGCTGAGGGGGACGCAATAAAACCACAACTAGCCTTGATCATAGGGGCCCTTAGGGGGGAGGGGGATAGGGCCTTCATGCATAGTAGTAAGGACATCCTAAGGCCTATTTAAGGAAGTAGAGTCCCATACCCCCCTCCCCCGTACCCCCACTAAGGGTCCCTCATGACTTTTACAAGCCCATGATCCTTTTAGTAGAGCGCTTGGAGCTTGAAACACTCCGAAATGGAATTGCTGAAAAGGCCCAGCCCTAAACCCTAAACCCTAAACCCCCAGACACCTGCCATGCATGGTGCCATCGTCGCGGCCTGCCAGGCGCCCTCTGTATCCTGAATAAGGGTTCCTTTAAGGGTTCCTTTAAGGGTTGGTTCCTTCAAGGGTTCCTTTAAGGGTTTCTTTAAGGGAAGCCCAATAAAGGGAAAATATAAAATATCCCAAAGGCCTACCTAGTATCTGTTTTTGAAAATCCGCTCGGCTAGAACCGACGCCACGGCAGCCAGCGAGATGGCAGAAATGGCAGCTAACATCCCAGCAAAACTTTCCTCCCGATGTTGAAAGGTGAAGATGTTACAAAAGTTCAGGTTGCACCTCTCGCGCATGATAAAGAAAGCCGGGGCGGAGAAAATCAACATGGACAGCGACAGCCACTCCAGCTTTCCGTAGAGCCTGTTGAAAACAAAGAAGCTCACAACAGCAGCGACAATGACGTACAGGTTGTCCATCATCATGTAAATCCTCGGTGGTGCTTCTCTGTGCGAAGTAGGGGCAATCGGAACTACACTGCTGATTGAAGCCCTGACGGAGACCCCCGAAGGGCCTCCTATTCTTAAAGACTACAGCCCGTATTCTCCACCCAGAGAGCTCGATAGAGACCCTGGAAGCAGCCCTTACCATGGAACCCTACCGAGCGTCACGTTATGCAAGCCTGACTCCACCGTGACTGTCAGAAGAACGGTCCTGGGTTGTAGTTTCGGGTAGTTTCGGGGCCGTTCAAAGGTTTAGGGTTGAGGGTTTAGGGTTTACCTCTGTGGGAACCATAATGGGAAGCTTCAAAATTTTCCTAAAGTGCCATCTAGTGTCTTCAATGAATAGAGAAGGCCAACAAAGCTCCAGCGACAGAGTGCGCGAAGTGAAAATATCCGCACAAGTCCCTCAGTCGGTACGGCAAAGAGCAAGTTGGATCACGTTGCATCATACCAAACCCTAAACCCTAAACCCCAGACTCCTAGCCTGAAGCCTAAACCACCAAACCCCCCAGGATGCAGGGCTCCTAGCGCACATCATCATTGCAGATCACTCAACGAGATGTCGGACAAGGGCTCCTGTAGCCTACCGCGCCAGCCGAGCCAGCAAAGCACATTCACGACGAGCTACTCAGGTTGAAGGTGTAGACCCGATTCGCTAAAAGACTTCGGGATGAGAGACGGGGTCCTCCTATAGACACTGAGGCTAAGCGGTTTACGACCACGAACTAAGCTTGGGACCCACTTTCCCTCCATGAAGACAGATATGCACAGCGCGATGATCAGCGATACCACCGATGCCATGACTTGAATGGACAGGTAGTTCACCTCATGCCCAGCAAACTCCCAGGTGCGCTGCTTCGTGCCCTCCAGGAAGGCAAACGTAAACATCACGGCAAATCCTGGGCTCTGGCTTCCGACGTCTTAAGTTAGGGGCTTTGGGGGTTGAGGAGTTATGTTTGGTTCAGGGTTCAGCGAAAGCTGATCCAACCCTAAACCCGAAGCCCAAAAGGCCCTAAACCCCCAAAGGCCCTAAAGGTACCATGAACGAAAGAAAGCATCTGAGTTCACCCTCGGGGCCCCTGCGTTGGTTGACCTAAGCTCCTAAGCTACACCCGAAACGGCCGGACACTCTGAAAGCTAAACCCTAAACCCTTTAAACCCTACACCCTAGACCCTAAACCCTAAACCCTACACCCTAGACCCTAAACCCTAAACCCTAAACCCCAGACCCTAGACCCTAAACCCTAGACCCTAAACCCTAGACCCTAAAGAGCTCCTTAACAAGCACAGAATCTCTCGCGGGTACCCACCCTCGGGGCGAGCCATCCATAGATCTTCGGCGCCCACTGGCGCAGGCCGCCGTTCGCTTGCACTTCAGACGCCTCCTCAACGGCTTTGGGCTTTCGTTTAGGGTTTAAGGTTTAGGGGTTTGGGACTCGCTCTACTCTAGGGTGTGGGTTTAAGGTGGAAGCTTTGAGGGTTTAGGGTTTAGGATGTTAGGACTTAGGGGTTTAGGGTTCGGCGTGTAGGGTCCTCCCTAAACACTAAGCCCTAAACCTTAAACCCTAAACCCCTAAACCCCGAAACCCTACACCCTAAACCCCGAACCTTAAACCCTAAACCATAAACCTTAAACCCTAAACCCTGAAGCCTAAACCCTAAACCCAAAAAACCCTAAACCCTAAACCCCAGGGTGTGGGGTCCTCCGTCTCGGTCTCGGACTCGCTCCCGGAAGACTCGCCTTCGTCCCGGCTCCTCTCATCCTCTGACTGGTTCTTAGTAGGGAATGGATCCCTATGATAGTCCCTTAAGGGCCCTAAACCCTAAACCCTAAACCCTTAAGGGCCCCTATAGTAGTTCCAAGAACCTATTCCTGGTCCATTCCTTACTAAGAACCAGTCAGTCCTGGAGCATGCCCGAAATCCCCGTCGCAACATTGGCATCGATATCCTGCCTTCAAGGTCCCCTAAAACCTAAAGCCTAAACCCCTAGAGGCCCTAAAGCCTACATCCCTAAACCCTCAAAACCCTAAAACCTAAACCCTCAACCCTAAAACCGAAACCCTAAACCCTGAAACCTAGAGCCTAAATTTGCCTAAATCCCGAAACCCTAAACCCTGCCTCCAGGACCCGAATACCGGGCTGTCTCCAAGGTGGCTCCTCGACCTATCGAAGGTGAAGGAGCGGCTTCCAGCATAGTGCGAGCGACTCTTCTTCTCCAGCATTGCGCCGGACACAGAGAGGGGGACAAACCCTAAACCCTAAAATTTTTAAACCCTAAACCCCAAAACTGCCTAAGCCTGCAGGAACAGAGTAGAGCAAGCTAAGCTGGGAAGCTTCTTGCGAGAGTCGCTGCAAGCCTGATCAGGCATCTACTGGTCATAAGGCTGGTGAGCTTCGCATACACAGGCGCGCATTCGGTCACCCCCCCCCTTGGTTGCCAACCGAACCCGAAACTGCTGAAACGACAAGACGAATCGTCAAACCTCCCTAAACCCTAAAGCCTAAACCCAAAAGCAGCAAGCAGTGGAAGCTTCCAAGAGAAGGTGCAGTAGCGCCCTCCCAGAAAGAAAGCTTGAACTTCAAGCGCAACTCAGGATTTTATGGTTCAAGGAGTTTGTTTAGGGGTTAGGGTTTGGGGTTTGGGGTTTAGGGCTTAGGGTTTAGAGTAGCAGGTTTAGGGTTTAGGGCACTGTCCACAGAAGCGTCCCTTGTTATGATCCTTTTTGTAAGGGGGCCGTGCCACTTTGTGGATCTAACACGGCGACCTTACTTTAGAGAACTGCCCACAGTAACTCCGAGGTACCCCCAAAACTCTCTCATGAGTATTGAAGCCACTAAACCCTAAACCCTAAACCTTAAACCCCTAAACTAAACCCTAAACCCTTAAACCCTGAACCCTAACCCCTATAGTGCACGTCACACTTTGGGTGCCCGGGCCTAGTTTAGAGAACCGCCCAAATAGAAACCGAGATACCTCAAAACTCAAGAGTGCTGCACTATGACCCCAAGAAACCCTAAACCCCTAAACCCTAACACCTAAACCCTAAACCCATAAACCCTAAACCCTAAACCCTAAACCCATAAACCCTAAACTCTAAACCCTAAACCCCTAAACCCTAAAACCTAAACCGATAAACCCTGAACCCTAAAACCCGTAAACATGCCCATTCAAGCCCCACGTGGTGGAAGGTTTCGGTAATATCATCCTACCTTTAGGATTTTTGGTCCAGAGTTCCGGGGTTTAGGGTTTAGGGTTTAGGGTTCATATTATCCTAGTTTTGGGATTGTTGTTTCAGAGTTCAGGATACACTTCAAGGTTGCGCTCATGTTCAATGAACGACTAATATTCACTAGTCAATGGGGCCTGGATGCTCGTGGCGCTTGGGTCTTCGATGCCTTCAAAACCCTAAACCCTAAACCCGAAATCCCTAAACCCTAAACCCATGACAAAAGGCAGACATTCCCTTCGCTGCTTTAACTTACGGCTTTTGCATCAAGGAGGTTCCTATGACCTTAGCTCACCCTAAACCCTAAACCTCCAAACAGCGGCATCATCGCACCCCCGGGCCTAAACCCCTAAACCCTAAACCCCAAACCCTAAACCCCAAAATCCCTAAAACCCTAAACCCCTAAATCCCTAAATCCCTAAACACCAAAATCCCCAAACCCTAAACCCCTAGACCCCTAAATCCCTAAACCCCGAAATGTCCCACACATGCGCGCCGGAGTCGTTTTCCTACTGCAGGCGGAAACCTATGGAGCCTCTCTGGAGAGACGCTGCTAAAAACGAAAAAGGGGGCTCTCTAAAGAATTAGAGTAGGGTTCTGGGGTGTAGGGTTTTGCCGTTTAGGGTTTAGGGTTTTGGAGCTTGGGGTTTAGGCTTTAGGGTTTAGTTTAGGGTTTAGGGTTAAGGGTTTAAGGAGCTTTCAATAATTAGAGTAGGGTTCCTTTAAAGGGTTCCTTAAAAAGGGAGACTATGAGGGTTGCTATACGGGTTCTTTAAGGGTTCTATAATATAGAGGCCTTAATGATTGGAATAGGGTTTTGGGGTTTCCTATGCGAGAATCATAATACAAGGAGCCCCACCAAATTAGTATAGGTAATTGTCTAGGCCCCTATAGAAGCTGCGTCATGGCGCGCCCATGACTAAGAAAGCCTTCGAAATTGTGATCAGCTGGGCAACAGCCGAAACCCCCGTTCAGCACACAGCACCCTAGGACTTCTTCATGGCCGTTTTCCGCACCGATTTCTTCGCTGTCCTCCCCTTCTTTGTCGTGGCCACCTTCTGGGTTCTTGTTAAGGGACTTAATTTCAGTTACTATGATAAGGGAACCCGGTTATTTACTATAGATCCCTTTTGTGGTAACTTAAATTAAATTCCTTCACAAGAACCCAGCCTTGCGCTTCCCTGCAGTGGAGAGGCAGATGGCTTTGTTGCGGGTCATGCTTTTAATCTTCCCGACGTTCCGGAGGCGCATGGCGCTCCAATCCTCAGCGGCTGAGTACCCCTAGATTGACGGTTTGGGGTTTAGGGTTTAGGGCTTTTTTTAAGTGTAGTGGGTTTAGGGTTTAGGGTTTAGGGCTTGTAGGCCCAATACCCCCTAAGTAAGGAATATACCTTAAATTCTAGGG